CAAAGTGCTGCTGCAAAGTGTTGTATTTTAATTTTGAATTTCTGTGCCTTTGAAGCTCACATTTTCCATTAGAGAGGAGAAAAAATAGCAGCCTCCATCCTGCTGCATACTGCATAAATCATCACGGAATCATGGAAAGGTTTGGGTTGGAAGGGACCTTAAAAATCACATCCTTCCATGGGCAGGGCCATCTTCCACTATCCCAGGTTGATCTAAGCCCCATCTAAGCTGGCCTTGGACACTTCCAGGGGTGGGGCATCCACAAATTCTCTACATAACCTGTGCCAGAGCCTCACTATCCTCACAGGCAGGAAATTCTTCTCAATATTCTGTCTAGCTCTGCTCTTCTTCAGTTTAAAACCCATGTCCTGTCACTCCAGAACTTGTGCAAAGTCCCTTTCCAGCTCTCTTAGAACCCCTTCGGCACTGTTAGGTCTCTCCTTAGAGCCGACAATCAGGACAAACTGTGCTCTCTTTTCCTCCAAAAACCAACATCTGTCCATTCTTTCCCAATTTAGAAGTTCAAGGGACTCTTGCAACCTCCTCAGGAGCCAATGTATCTTTTCAAAGAAACAAACATCTGTGAAGCAGCTGGATGGTGGGGACTTGATTCAAGAGTGTGCTCTTGGGACTTTATCTGCTAAGTTACCACAGCTCCTCTGGCCATTGTGGTGGCTGGTGGCCTCTTCAGCCTTTTTACTTTCTAATATTCAGTGTTATTACTTTCTAATGTGCCAAATAACTTTTTTTTTTGTTTGTTTGTGTTTTCTGGGACAGCGGAGAAGAGCAAGGCCCACATCACTGCCCTGGGACTTTTTCTGGAAAATAGATTTCAGTGAATATATTCAATATATTTCAATCTATTCAATAGATTGAAAATAGATTTCAGTGAACAAGCACCTGGAGACGTCTTCCTTAGGGATCCCTTGAGGACTCTGACTTCTTCCTGCCACGAGTGGTTTGGGGAAACTGTGAAGGGAGAAAAACAACAACAATCTTCTTTATCTCTCTGTTCAGATCTTGTCCCAACAGGAGCTCAGGAAGAGATATTCACCTCAGGCCCTGATTCATCTTGGACACAGGAGTGTAGTGAGCTCAAGAACTCCTCGAGTCACAAAAGAGAGAGACTGGAGAGAAAAACCTCCTGTGCTGGTCCTAAATCTCCCTGGAATGTTGTCTTGCTCCACAAGGAGCCCTTTCCTATGTGGGCAGCTGTAGCGAAGGGGTGATTTAGATCACCAAGAGGATCACTGTAATATCACCAAAAGTGGGGTTACTGTGATGTTGTAAAAGCAAGGTTCACTGTTATTTAATATATGGAAGAAATGTACAAAGGAAAATTGAGTTGGAATCAAACTGGGAGGATTTAAAGATGTGGGACACAAAAGGGTAAAGGAGACCTTCCCACTGAGCCACAAATTCAGAGTGGCCCCCCCTTGCTGTCTGAACTCCTGATAGAGCCAAGGTGGAGTTAGGTCCAATCTTAAGTCTCAGCTTTGGGAGATGGTTTATGTCTAATGGAATTATCCACACAGTTTATAATAATTAATTATTGTGCACTGAGCTGAGCTCCTGCTCAGAGTCTGTCTGGTCATGCAGGAGGTGCCAGGGAAATCCAGGTGAGGTTGAATCTTCCAGTACCTGACAACAAAAGAAAAATGGAGAGGTGCTTCTTGCCAGGGCACTGAGGGATTGGACAAGGGGAATGGCTTTAAGCTGAAGCACGGTAGATTTAGAATTGGATTAAATATTGGGAAGAAATTCCTCCCTGTGAGGTTGGGGAGGCCCTGGCACAGGTTGCCCAGAGAAGCTGTGGCTGCTCCATCCCTGGAAGTGTCCAAGGCCAGGTTGGACAGGGCTTGGAGCAACCTGGGATAGTGGAAGGGATCCCTGCCCATGGCAGGGGTGGAATGAGATGGTCTTAATGTCCCTTCCAACTCAAACCATTCTGGAATTCTATGATTGGCTTTGCAGTGATGTGGGCAGGGTGGCGTCAGAATTACCACAGCTGGAAACTTTAACCCCACAGCCCTGTCCTGCACCAGAAATGTTGCCAGATCTGTGTTAAATCTCCACCTTCACATCCTACGAGATTGGGAAGGAGACATCAGGCTGTGGGTTTGAGAAACCTAAATAAAAACAAGCTGCACTGCACAGAAAAGGGGATTCCTCATGTCTTGCAAATGTACTTTACAGGCACATGCATTTTTAGAGGTGTGGAGAGGATACAAAGCTGAAATTTGGGTAAACTCAGCTCAGTGTTGTGACTTTTCCAGAGCAGAGAGCCCAGGTGGAAGCTGTGGGGCCAGGAGAGATTTCCCAGCTCCCAAGAGCGATGCAAAGCACACATGGGGTGCAGGCAGGGGCGCTTTTAAAAAGCAGACAGGCCTGAAGTTTCCACCTCTTTTATTAGAAATAAGACACATTCATTTTGTGCTCTGAAAACTGTACAGGAAAAAAAAAAAAAAAGGTGTTGAAGAACACGGGGAGGAAGGAGGGGAAGGCATGGAAGGAGGGCAGGACATGGGAAAACAGGATTAACCAGAGGAGCTGAGCAGAAAAAGTCGAATATCAACAGTTCTTAAACAAACATTTATCTCTGTAATTACATAACATCGTTAATGTCCTGCAAAGGCAGCTGCAGTGAATGGGTGAAGGTTGGAGTGAAGAGGGCAGGCAGGGGAAGGGAAGGAAAAAACAAAAAGAGAGAGAAATTAATTAAAACAGAGTAGAAAGATACCTGTATGCTAAAATTCATAATGTGTAATTATAGTAATTACAATATCATACAACCCAGCATCTGAGGGAGGCCTTTGTGCTTTCCTGTTTCATGAATAAGCTAAAATTAAACAGTAATATCACAGTTTTATGAGTAACCACTTCCTTATTTTTTAACTATTTGGGTTTATTTAAGTTTTCCTTTCCATCCTTCATATCCTATGGTCAATGGCAAGGTAAATGCCATTGGAGATCTCCCAGGTGGCCCAAAGGGAAGTCAAAGCTGAGATCTGGCACATCAAGCAGCACCTCCCCATGGGGGAAGCACAGCTGGGGACAGTGATTGCTTTGCATCTTGTACCCATGGGTCATTTTTCCCTAAAAATGTGAGGTTTGTTATTTTTTAATTAAAAGGAGACCCAAGCACAGTAGTAATTCAGACCCTGTTCAAGTTCTGCTGCTGTCTGGCACAATCTGGCCACTCACAACCAGAGTTTTGTCTTCATCCACCTCCAAAACTGGGAGAGTAAGTCCAAACATCAGACAGAAAGTGCTGGGAATGACGAAAATAGTAATAAAATAAAAAAAAAGTCTGTGTGTAATGTCACTGGTATATTTTTTAATGATAAAAATATTGCACAACACTTTTTGGAATGAAATGTAGACACCTCATTTTTTTTTTTTTCTTTTGGCAAATAACCTTGAGAAATGTTTAAAGAAAAAAAATAAAATAGTTATTTTTTTTATACTGAAATGAAAAGACTGCATTTTATGAGGAGGAATGTTCTGCTCTCCTGATCAGCTTCACCTCTTCCTTCCTGCAGGACCACGAACCTGCTGCTGGCTCTGGGCAGTGGGGAGGGCGGAGAAGGGCCAGCGAGGGGAAAATAACCAAAACCCAAACTGAATAAAGCAAAACAAAACATTGCAAGCCAGCGGTGAAGGGGCTGTGTATTCCCACCATCCCAAATTTTCCACGGAGCAACTTGCCTTCCACCTTCAGCAGGTGGCATCCTCACCCCATGCCTGCGCAGTCTTACGGCACAGAAAACAATTTGAAAGGACAAGAGCCAAAGAAAAGAAAGGTCTCGGGTTTCAAGTTCTCTTTTTATTGAAGAAAAGAAAAGAAGAAGGAAAAAAATAGATTATTTTGTTTGTTTTTTTTTTTTGTCTGTTTGTTTCCAAGTGGACGTTATTCATGTTGTCAGTTTGTCTCAATGTCCTAAGGCAACGTCTCTGTTTACCAATATCTCCAGGTACAGCGGCAGATCTGTCTTTCCCTTTTTCTCTCTCTGCCTTCCAGGGAGGGGGCAGCTTGGAATAAATCTGAGTCCGAAAGCAAGGACAAATAACAGAACAAAAGAAAAAAAATAAAATAAAAGGATGAGGCCAAGAGGACCTTCACAAGGCCCGTGCTGAGTTTATCTATTTAACAGTCAATGACATGACCTACATTCTTCTTGTTGGTCTTGTTGTCTACCACCTTCCACCCTCTCCCTGGAGATGGGGTGAGCAGGATTTGGAGATTTGGAGCTGGTCCTTTCCTCCGCCGGGGAGGGATGAGAGGAGGAAGCCCCACCTCTCCTGTCCACCCGTCAAGCCACGGGTGACGCCACCACGTCCCCCGTCCGCGGGGACCCGCTGCGACCGTGCGCCAATGCCAGGTCGTGGCGCGGCACCCGGGGGTGGCAATGTCCTTGTGGCCACTTCTTGGCGCGTCCCATCTCCTTCCTTCTTGGATGAGCTGGCGGGGGAGCGAGGGATGAGGCTGGGTCTGCCCCAGCCAGGCCACATCCCAGCGAGGCTCCCGCAGGTGTCCCCTCTCGCTGTCCCCAAACAAGCCCGATCTGTGGTGGCTGCTGGGCGTCCTTCCACACCTCCCCGTGGCAGAGCAGGAGGGCTCCTGGTGTGCGGCAGTGACCCGAGAGCATCTTGGCAGGGCTGGTCCCCTGCAGCCCCTCCCCACCCTCTTCCTCCTCCTCCTCCTCCTCCTCCTCCTTGCTCTCTTCCAGGCTCACTCCTCCAGTCCTGCCTGGGAAAGCTCGTGTTGTCCTGAACCTACAGCTACTATACTCTATAAAGTAATATTTCCCCTCTCTGCTGAGAACAATACAAAAGTTACTCCATCTTACCAAAGGTTTCAAAAGAAACCAAACACTTCTCTTGCTCGGTTCCGATTTAATTTAATCATTTCTTTAAAACGTGGTTTTGTTTTTGTTTTTTTTTTTTTTTTCGTTTGTTTTCCGGAAAAAAAAAAAAGTCCTTTTTTCTTCCCTTTCTGCTCAGACCTCTGTCTGAAGGTCAATAATGTCTTGTCCCACCAAGGGGATGGTGGCCCCTGTTTTCTCCCACTCTACAGTTTTTAGTTCTAGGGGAGACTGTGCCACAGGTTCGATGTCCTTTTTAACCCATGATGGCGGGGACTGGACTTTCCTGATGCCTTCCCAGGGTCTCTTGTTTGGTGTCTGCTGTTTTTCTTGCTGCAGGAGGATGAAAGTGTAAAAAAGGAGAGAGAGAAAGAAAGAAAAGTTAGTGCAAAATGCAAGAAATTCCATTATTTTACCTCCTCTTGTGCCAACAAATAATTTTTTCTGTGAAGCTTCACTCAAAATAAAGTGAGGTATCAATGAAAATGACACTTGGTGTATGAACTGTATTTTCAAGAAGGAAATGTTATTCTTTCCACTGCCACCTCCATCACTTAATGACTGGATATTTCAGCTTTCAGGGGAGTTTTATGCTACTGAAAGTCTGAGTGTGGTTTTGAGAATATCAGATCTTTTTCTACTTCCACAGATGTAGTGACAGGAAAGGGGGTGATGGCTTTAAGATGAAGGAGGGTAGGTTTAGATGGAATATTGGGAAGAAATTCTTCCCTGTGAGGGTGGGGAGGCCCTGGAATGGAATTCCCAGAGAAGTTGTGTCTGCCCCATCCCTGGAAGTGTCCAAGGCCAGGTTGGATGGAGCACCCTGGGATAGTGGAAGGTGTCCCTGCCCGTGGCAGGAGGTGGAACTATAGGATCTTTAATGTCTCTTCCCACCCAGCCCACGTATGAAATCCAGATTACAATGAGGTCTTTCTGAACGCCCACTGCATTTGATGCACGTTCCTTATGCAGCACAGATATTTATAGACCTTTAATTGCAGCAAAACTTGCCTCCCTGTTCTGCCAGGGAACCAAATCCGTGCTGCTTGAGGAGCTGGAGCTCATCTCAGAGGCTGAAAACACTTCCATCAACTCCACACCAAGGCCTGGAGGCTTTACTGACCCAGTCTCCCACCACCACCCCACCAGGGATATTGATCCAGAAAATCTCTTCCCACGTTTTTCCTGACACCAAGACAAGGCTCTGGGGAGAGCTGAGGGACTGGAAAACGGGTGTGTTCCTCAGTGGGCAGAGAAAGGAAAGGCTTTAAATGAGTTTGTCCACTCAACTTCTCCCCTCTAAACACCAATGATGCTTTTCACAGTTGATTATCTCCACAAAAGCACTCCAGCACTGCACAAGAAAATGCTTCCCTGGACGTGACAGAGCCTTTTTGAGCCTCCTGCCAAAGGAAAAGTGGGAAGGGAGGGAGGAAAGCGGCTTGTGGAGGATGACAAGGAGGGAAAAGCCTGGAGAGAAGGTGAGGAGCCAGGGGACACGACACCCAGGAATTGTCACAGCTCGATGCTGTCACCCAAATGCGTTGACTTGTGGGAAGTGAAGCCACACAGAGGCTGTGGGGACTCCAGGATGCTGCTGAGATCATCACAGCTCCGTAGGAAACCTCAATCCCCATCTGCTGCAGACTCATCCAGCAGCCCCAGCTCCTCAGTTTGTCCTTCCCCAAGACGTTTTTGTCAGGCTGCTGTTTGTCCCAGCTGCAGTGCTGACAGGAAAGCTGCTGTGGAATTATCCCTGCAGGGTCAGCTGGATCACCCAAGACAGGAATTCTGCTCATCCAAGCTTTAGTATAAAAATAAGATGTGCTTGAAGTTTGCCCTGTACCTCACAATTCCCAGGAGGAAGCTTTGGGTGAGAGCTTAGAGGGTGGGGAATGTACAAACCAAGTAAACATCTGAAAGTGAAGTGAAAACACTGAAATAATTTTCATTCAAATGGAGAAAAATAAGTTTTTAAGTCCTTTTAAAGAGAATTGTTGTTTGGGTGTTTTTTTTGATATCAGGTTGTGTAAAAGTATTGCTCAAAAAAACGTAAAACACTCAGTTCTCAATTTCTTGAAATCTGCAGCTGAGGTTTTCATTAAACTCTATATTAGAGAGCTGTCCTTATGCTGCTGGTGTTATTCTTACTTTATTCTGTGATATAACACGACAGTGATTAATACTAATACGACAGAAAAAAATGATAAAATTTGTGATTTATTCCATTATCTTTTTTTGCAACTTATTTTAGAACCGCTGCAACTAAAAAGTGGAACCTATGTAACTCTTGCATGTGTCTTAATGAGACAAGCTGGGAGTTTCCTGAAGGGAAATTTCCACCTACAGTGTTTTTTGGAGACCATCAGTCTGCCTGAAAAGATACAGCAGGAAGGAGCACAGAGAAAAAAAGCACAAATAGAGCAAAAATTGGAATAAAATTAAGTTTCCCAAAAGGTGAAGAAAAACAACCTTGGTCAAGACAGATATTTTTTTCAATGAAAAACATTTTGTTTTCTCCCACCACTGCTGTAACGCCACAAGTTTTCAAAGCTGCTGATGTCCACGGCTGCATCAGCGGGCAGCACAAGTGATCTTATGCATGAAGTTCATAAATAATTCGTTTTTTCCCCTCAAACAAGTGCACTTTTTGGATGGCATTATTTATGGCCACCTTCAGCATCAAGTTTGCAGCCAACCCCTGCTTTCACAGTCTCTCTCCAGCTGCCACACTCCCGACCTTCAGCCTCTCCTTCATGCTGGGAGGATGCTCCCAGATCCGACCATGCTCTCTGAACGTGATCAGCAAACCTCAGAGCCCTCCCTTGTCACGGGCTGGTGAGCAAGAGGAGCTGCAAATCCAGGGAGGGAACAGAAACTGAGGGGAAAAAAAAACCCAAACACACCTCCAGCACTGGCCTCTGATCAGCCCTGTCACTGGGGAACACCACCTAAGGGTGACAATAATTATTCAAACCCCAGACATTAAATGTTGTGAGCTGTTGAGAAGAGAAAAATTAAGAAAGGAAGAGAGAATGAAATGGGAAATATTGTTATGGCAGTGCACAGCTCCATTCTGAACCTGCATCTTGAATATTCTGGGCACTCTGTGGGCTTCCTGAGAGAAGGATAAAGGGAAAATGATAAATGTGGCCAGTTTCCAGCCATGGATGAAATTATAGAGAATGTCCTGTGGGAGGAAAGATTACAAACTCCCGCCTTAAGGCCTTAAAAGAGATTATGGTTGGATGTAAAAGAGATCTGTGAAGCTCTGAGAGGCTTGTGGATGATAGGAATGGACCACTGATGGTGGGGACTGGGATAATCTCTTCCAGCAAAGGAACTCCAGAGCACCAAGGAGTGAACCCTGGCAGCTGGCAGCTGCCCAGAGTGCCCAGCCAACCTCCAGGACACCTTTCCACAACTCTCTGTCCATCCTGAAAACTTCCAGACTCATGAAAAGTACATGGAAACACAAAAACAGCATCCATTTGGTGCTATCCAGTGAAGCAACACCACTCTGCATCAAGGGGTCTCTGAGCACAAATTCCTGGAGTTTTGGGGATCTTTTTTAAGATGCACCACCACAGGCTGGCCACTTTATTTTTCCAAGATCCTTTTTAATCTGCCATGGAGAAGAGGCAGAAACTGCCCTTGGGTCTGACCCTACTTGGTCATTTCCATCCTCCTTATCAGTGTGGTATTCACCTGTGACTGTGGTGGGCTTAGTGACTCCAAAGGTGTTTATTCACAGTTAGAAGATGAAAAGGAGCCCTGGAAAACGAGGAAATGGAGAAGGGAGAGTTGCTCTTAGTTCTCCATTTCTCAGAGAAGGATCAGACTTCTCTGGTGATGCTGTGAGGGAAGTGCTGGCTTAGGGGTGGCTGCAGGAGGGGCCGCTGCCCTCTGGGATCTCTGAGCAGGTTAATCAGCCTGGCAGAGCTCTGGGAAGGATGCTGAGAGACAAAAGAAAATCCACTCTTGGCACAGGGCACCCTGGGAATTGCTAGCAGGCTCCTGGGAACAGCTACCCTTTTCTTTCCCTCCATATGGAAAAAAAAGTTTTTATGGGGTCTTGGCCGCTTGAGCAGCAGAGAGAAACCGGCACTGGGCTCACGCTCCAACCCTGGAATTTCCCTCCAGCTCCACTGTGGGCTCTTAGCAATCCTTACAGACAGGAGGCAAAACTGAGCTATGCATAGAAAAGAAAGAAAAAACCTGGAGAGAGGGATGTGTAATCTGTCTGGAAAAGGCACTGTGGCTGGCTCAGGGCCTGGTGCCTCCGAGACAGCCAGCACAGGCCCCAGACAGGGGCTGAAAGCACCCGGAGCTGCTCTGCCAGGGACAGAGCCATCACTCCGGCCTGACACATCCCAGGAGCTTCTGGGAAGGAGGGAAATGTTTATCAGTCCCTGTCTGGTGCCAGGACTGTGGAGGAAAAATAAGGGGTGGGAAAGGAGGGAGCACCCACACTCAGAGCTGGGGTAAAACCAGATCCAAACTGGAGGTGTTCATCATCCTGGTGGCATTGGGAGTCTCCTTCATTCATTTTATCTGCCTGACTTTCATTTTAGCTGTGAATTTTTAAGCTGGAGGAAGAGGATTTGGGATAAAAGGTGTTTAGGGTGCAGTGCTAAGAAAAGCCCCAAATCTGACAAACACAGAGGCAAAGTGCATTGAGATAATCCACACATCCTTCTGCTAAAGCTGGTCCTGGCAGACTGCAGAGTCACCCGTGCAGGACTCGTGGTGGGTATGGAAAGGTGATGGTGGTGGGTCCCTACCTTGGGTCTTCAGAGAATCATCACAAAATCAATCATCACAAAATCACAGAATGGTTTGGGTTGGAAAAGACCTTAAAAATTATCTCATTCCAACCCCCTGCCATGGGCAGGGACACCTTCCACCATCCCAGGCTGCTCCAAGCCTCATCCAACCTGGCCCTGGACACTTCCAGGGATGGGACAGCCACAGCTTCTCTGGGAAACCTGTGCTGATCTCCCCACTCTCAGAGCGAAGAATTTCTTCACAATATCCCATCTAACCCTGCCCTCTGGCAATCTGAAGCCATTCCCACTTGTCCTAGCACTCCACCCCTTGTCCTAAGTCCCTCTCCAGCCCTCTTCAGGCACTGGAAGGGGCTCTGAGGTCTCCCTGGAGCTTTCTCTTCCCCAGGCTGGACAATCCCAATTCTCTCAGCCTTTCCTCACAGCAGAGCTGCTCCATCCCTCTGATCATCCTGGTGCTCCACGTCCTTCCTGTGCTTGGGAACTGGACAAAAGGTTCCAGGTAGGGTCTGACCAGAGCAGATTTGAGGGGCAGAATCCCCTCCC